ATCTGGGGGCATGGGGCGGGGGCTGCTCCTGCCACTGCATGCACACTGGGAGGGCATGAGAGGGGTGCCCCTGGTTCTGCATGGAGCCGTGGGTGGCGTGGGCTCCGGGGCTGCATGGGGCTCTTCCTGGCACATTAGGGGCAGGCGGTTGGGTCAGGGCTGAGCTTGGGGCGGGCAGCAGTGGCACTTGGATAGGAAGCTATAGTGGGGGGCTATGGTGAATTTTGGGGTGGCTGCAGCCCCCCATAACCCCTCTCCCAGTGCCACCACCACCCGCCCTGGGTGCAGCTCGCCTCTTCCCCACTGGGAAGAGCCCTGCACAGCCCTGGCCTCAGCCCACACCTGCAGCCTGCCCCACCTCATGCAGATCTGGGGGCACATGCCCCCTCACTGTGTCTTCCTGGGGTGCACACAGCAGCAGGAACTGTCCCCCTGAATGAGCTGCAGCTCCGTCCTGGGCCCAGCCCCATCCCAGCTGGGCAGTGCCTGCCCCACCCCCACTCCTCACCACAGGGGCCTTAATCTCTGTCCCCCCATGCCCTTCCCACCCCCTTCCACCACAACAGACTTCCCAGCTGGATGCAGCTCTTCAAGTTGCAAGGCTGCATATCGGAAATTAGGTTGGTTTTGGCCAATATGCCTCCTTAAAAATCGGCTATTGGTATTGGCCCCTAAAATCTTAGCACCCCTAATAGTTACGTTGTACTGTAACTGATTAAAGTTTTCTCTCTCTCTTCCTCGCTTTACTCCCCACCACTGTTTTTGGCTGAATTAAATTGTAGGCACAGTTAACACTCCAAGAATGCATTGCAGCCCAACAAGAGTGGAAACAGATCCATCACCTCTGTTACTGGGAGCTGATGTGGTGCTACACATTCCAGCAGAACTGGCTTCAAGCATATCGGTATGCAGACCTGCTCTGCAAAGAGAGCAGGTGGTCTAAGGTAAATAGGAAGGTGGACATGCTTTATGCCATGCTAATAGCCTCTCTCTAGTTAAGTCCACATTTCAGTTTTTATAATGGATCTAACTTGTATTTTCTCTAAAATCTTTAAACCAAGGAACTAAGTTTAACTGTACATCTGAGATTTTACTTCAAATTTGGAAAAGTTCTAAATTGACAGTAAGTTCCAGAATTTCCATGCCTGCCCTAAGAATTGTGAGTTCATATGTCTTCCAGTCTGAAATAGAAGTTGAGCAGAAGATTAAATCAATCTAATCTAATCTTAATTGTATGTGTAAGAACAAAATTTAAATAAACTCTAATTTTAAAAGTTTTACACAGTAAATTTTAAACAAAATTAACATGAGACTAAACAGTCATAGATTTCATAGATTTTAGGGGTAGAAGGAACCTATTAGATCATCAAGGCCGGCCCCCCTGCCCTGGGCAGGAAAGTGTGCTAGGGTCAGATGACCCCAGCCAGGTGTTTGTCCAGTCTCCTCTTAAATACCTCTAGGGAAGGGGACACCACCACCTCCCTTGGAAGCGTATTCCATATTTTGGCAACCCTCACTGTAAAGAATTTTTTCCTGATGTCCAGTCTAAATATACTCTCCTTCAGTTTGTGGCCATTGTTTCTGGTTACCCCGATGGGCGCCCTGGTAAACATTGTATCCCATATTTCCTGCTGCCCCTCCCAGTGAGTTTGTAGATGGCCATAAGATCACCTCTCAGCCTTCTCTTGCGGAGGATGAAGAGATTCAGGTCCCTCAATCGTTCCTTGTAGGGTTTTTCCTGTATACCTTTAGCTAGACGGGTGGCCCTCCTCTGAGCCCTTTCCAGGTTATCTACATCCCTCTTGAAGTGTGGCGCCCAAAACTTGATGCAGTACTCCAGCTGTGGCCTAACCAATGCCATGTAGAGGGGAAGTAACACCTCCATAGACCTGTTTGTGGTGCACCTACTTACGTGAGAAAGGGTGCAGTTAGCTTTACTTTTTACTTCATCACATTGGTGACTCATGTTCATTTTGGAGTCAACTATGACTCCGAGTTCCCTTTCCACAGTTGTGCTACTTAGGGTAAAGGTGTGTTAATGATTCTTCCTCCCTAGGTGCAACACATGGCACTTATTTTTGTTAAACTGGATCCCATTCTGTTCTGCCTACTTCCCCTGCCTGTTCAAATCCACCTGGATTTGCTCCCTGCCCTCTAGTTTGTTTACCTCCCCCCATAGTTTGGTGTCACCTGCAAACTTGGAAAGAGTGCTTTCTACTCCCTCATCAAAGTCACTAATGAGGATATTGAACAGCACCAGCTCCAGGACAGAGCCTTGGGTGACTCCGCTGCCCACGTTTCTCCAGGTAGAAACCGACCCATCCACCACCACTCTGGGTGCGTCCCATAAGCCAATTTTCCACCCGCTGGACAGTGTAATAATCTACATTGCAGCTGTTTAGTCTATTTATAAGAATTGGGTGTGACACTGTGTCAAAGGCCTTTTTAAAAGTAAGTAAATAACATTACCTCTGTTCCTTCGTCCAAGGATTTTGTGACCTGGTCATAAAAATAACCCAGGTTAGTCGGGCAGGAACCCATGCTGGTTGCCCCTTAACGTTATTTTACCCGCTGGTCTCCCACAAAGTCAGTTTGTCTGCTTTTATGTATTTAAAAGAAGGGGTCAAGTGACTACTGGTGAGCTAAGCCTCAGGAAAAAAATATTTACCCTTTTCCTTTTAAAGATAAACCATTTTGAGGTGTATATGCAAGGAAAAGTTGTAAAACTTCAGAATGAAAACAAATGCCAACATACAGATAATGCTTAGATGTTTATTTTCATGTTGCTGATTCTTCAGGTTCTGCTTGAGCATGTTCCACTTTTGCCAAGAAAAACTGAGAAGATCAAACTCAGGGAAAACTACATTGAATCTCATGAATTTTTTTTTAAAATGAATAAGGATGGTGTTAGAGGTTTACCTTTAAACCATCATAAAGGTATTTACAATGGGAGCATTCACCTGTTAAAGGGTGTTAACTTGTGCTAAGTACCCTCTAAATAAGGGATTGGCAACCCCGAACACGTGTGCCAGAGCATGGCACGTGAGGACATTTTGTTCGGCACTCCAGCCCTCAAGGCAGATGGCAGTGGAGCCATGAGGGGTCCAATCTTTTTTGTGCCAGTGCAGCCCCGGCCCCTTCCCTGCTGTCTTCCTGGAGCTGCATGTCCACCTGCCGCCAGCCATGAGCTGGGCTGGGGCTCTGTGGACCCCATAGCAGTTGCGTGCAGCTTCCCCATTGCCTGCTGCAAACAGTCTGGGTTCCATGGTGGCTATCAGGGGCCTGCCCAAAGCCTGAGCTAGTTGTGGCAGGCAGCCAGGAGGCTGCAAGTGGCTGCATCAGTATTTACTGTAAAAACAAAAAAACCCACCCCCTCCCCCTCCCCCCCAAAACGACCTTTACCACAACATTCATGAATGATTATTAATCATAATATGCAGTATGTCCAGCCAAGTACCACCTTGGCATGTGAACATCTTACAAGTAGATGCTGTGGGGGTTTTTGGTACTCTGTCCAAAAACGTTGCTGAGCCCTGCTCTAAATGTTTTAAAATTACAGTATGCCAATTCAAATGATGGTTATTGCAGGATATTGCTAGTTTGCTCTGGGGAGATGAAATGTTCTATTTTCATTTCTCCCAGGAAGTACCATTTCCAGCCCTTCCCATTTCTTTGCTCAATGTGCAAACTTACAACCCTCCTAACTCTATTGCCCAGGGAGCTGGTGCTGGCCCCAAGCCAACACCCCCTTCTGCCCCCAGGGGAGGCAACCTTAGTGCACCCTGACCAGTCTGAGCTAGGTGCAGCTCATCAGTTTTATGCTTGCTCTAGCATCCCATGTAAACAACAGCAGCAGTCCAATTATACATACCTCTGTGAAGAAAATGAGCCAGAGAATGGAAAACCACCAGGCAGGGTGCAAACTGGGCCTCAGCTCTGCCCTGATGTGATTAGTAACTCAGCTCCCCTTGAAACATACAAGATTTTGTCCCTTTTTATTTTTAGCTTTTTTTTCCCCCCACTATTTTCTCCTTGCTTCTCTTTACTTCTCCCTACTGCATACTTACTTCAAATGGTTTTTTTTCTTCACAAGATTTTTCCCCTCCCACCCATGGCTCCAGCTGGCTCCTGCAGGCTGCAGAGCGAGGGAAGCCTTAGCCCCCATGTTGGTTTCTCTGCTTCCAAGCTACATGCCATCCTCTCCACTCCTTTCCTTTCACACACCAGAGGAGAGGGGTAGATTCCTGGCTCCTGTCCACGTGCCTGCTCTCCAGGCTCTGTAGTGGTAAGTCACAGTTATGCGTGTCAGAGACGGCATTAAACCTTAGAACAGGTGCAGTCACAGATTAACTTTGTGAATCACGGAATTATAGAAAATTAGAGTTGGAAGGGACCTCATGAGGTCATCTAGTTCAACCCCCTGCTCAAAGCAGAACCATCCCCAACTATATTGTTCCAGCCAGGACTTTGTCAAACCAGGCCTTAAAAACCTCCAAGGTTGGAGATCCTACCACCTCTCTAGGTAACCTGTTCCAGTACTTCACTACATTCCTAGTGAGAGTTTTCCTAATATCCAGCCTAACTGCAACTTGAGACTGTTGCTCCTTGTTCTGTCATCTATCACCACTGAGAGCAGTCTAGATCCATCCTCTTTAGAACCACCCTCCAGGTAATTAAAGGTTGCTATCAAATCCCCACTTAGTCTTCTATTCTCCAGACTAAATATGCCCAGTTCCCTCAGCCTCTCCTTATAAGCCGTGAGACCCAGTCTCCTAACCATTTTCATTGCCCTCCTCTGGACTTTATCCAATTTGTCCACATCCTTTGGGGGTCCAAAACTGGACACAGTACTCCAGTTGTTGCTTCACCAGTGCCGAATGGAGGGGATTAATCACTTCCCTTGATCTGTTGGCAGTGCTCCTGCTAATGCTGCCCAGTATGCTGTTAGGCTTCTTTGCAACAAGGGCATACTGTTGGCTTATTTTCAGCTTCTTGTCCATTGTAAGTCCACGGTCCTTTTTTGCGGAGCTGCTACTTAGCCAGCCACTCCCCAGCCTGTCGTGGTGCATTGGATTGTTCTGTCCTAAGTGCACTTCTCCTTTTTCTGTTGGTTGAAAGACCAACGCATGGGTTTGGCAACCAAGGTCTTGATCTATGTGTGTCACTCAATAAAGGGGGAGAAAGCAATGCTTTATCTAAAGCCATTCATACACACAGGCCAATCCACTGGTGCTCGGGTTCAGTCACGATGGCCAGTCACGATGACTCTGGACATTGTTGATTTATGGGAGGGATGCCGGCATGTTCTCCTGAGTTGATGTGGATGGCATACCACGAGATGATTGAATTGAGGATCCTGAGGAAAGGAAGGAAGGAAAGCTGCAGAGTAAGGACTATGGATGGTGACTCCACTTCTACACTCACCACCATTTATTCCATTTGTGAGCAGCAAGTCAAGAAAAGCACAGGCCCTAGGTGGCCCCTCCAGTACTTGCACTAGAACGTTGTCCCCAGCACTTTCCAAAAGCCTTCTGGATTACCTGTGCACTTCTATATTGCTCTTCCAGAGGGTATTAGGGTGATTGTGGTCTGCCATGAGACCTAGGGTTTGTGATCGGAAAACGTCCCCTAGCTGTTTGAAGACTGCCTCATCTACCTCATCCTTCTGGTCTGATGGTTTGTAGCAGACACCCACCATATTACCCTTGTTGCTTTTCCTTTTAACCCTAACCCAGAGACTTTCAACAGGCCTATCTCCAGTTTCATACTGGAATTCTGAGCAATCATACAGCTCTTTTATGTAAAGAACAACTTCTCCTCCTTTTCTCACCTGCCTGTCCTTCCTGAACAGTTAACACCAGTGTTTGTTAACGTTTTTTAAATTTGCAGATGCCTAAAAAATTTCAAATAGAGGTGTGGAATTAGAACACAAACGAGAACATTT